GGACGACTCACACACAAGTTTTCATTAGGAGATCAGAAACTCTTTACAGATGTAGTTCATGGTATAAATATTAACATGCAGTTCTTTAATATGGTCTTGCAGGACCACGTCAACTCTTTCCACCACTTACAATAACCTTTGACATAAATTCAGACACCCACTGTCTTTTCAGAAGAAAGTTATTTAAAGGAAGTAGACTAGTCTGAAATATTCCTATTTAATTTTTGCCTATTAAAGACAGTAGGCACAGTAGGTATAAACAAAACTGAAAGGATCCAGGAGTTCCTAGTGTCTAAAGTACTGATTTGTTCTCTTCTAGGTGGTACCTGGGGATCCCTCTGGTAAAAATGAAACCGTGGTAGATGTGAATATTCTGACTTCACCTACTTTCACCATTAAAGTTCCTCCCAACTTAGACCCAAAGAGTGCTGAATTCATTGAATACATAGCTGGGAAAGCACTGCAACTATACAAACAGAATTTTTAAGTGGTAAGTTCATTCTTTCTCCTTTCATAGAGAACACAAGTCCTTATAAGAGGTGTTTACATTGTAATAAACTTTAGTTGGAACAGGATTCAGTCATGGTATATTCAAGGTCTCCTCAGAAAGGACACGCTGATTGAGAGACAAACACAAGCATTATGGAAAACAAAAACAAATGCTCAATGTTCTAGTGTGCAAAACACAGACACGATGATATTAAAAGACTTGACTTATTTAACTGTGAAACCCTCAATCTTTAAGTAACATCTGGGATGAGGTAATGTGATGATAAATGTTCGTTCAGAAAAGAATTGCCTCACAACCACAGTGTAGAGCCTTGGCATCGGAAACCATGTCTTTGTGTTCATCAATCATGAATGAACTGGAATTACCACTATTCATTATGGTTTTTATTTTAGGTGGTGTTTAAGAGCATGCTCCTTATTATTTTTATGATAAAGGAGTGCCAAGTTAGAATCAGCACCAGGACTTGAAAGAGCTGTCTTGCCGTAACATTTTCCCATTATCAGCTCTCTGCTCAAAGTGTTAACAGTGTCTGCAGTTTGACTCGTAGGAATGTGCACAAAAAGATCCTTCTCATGGACTTGTAACCATTTTTGCAGAAAAGGCTCACAGAGGCCTCTCTTCATGCTTAAGAGATTTCCAGGTGGGGAGGAAAGAACCAGGCAGAGAGGCAGGGGGAAACAAGACTTCATATTCTCGAACCCCACGGGGAATCTCCAGGAAAGATGGGGTGGATTCAGGTGGCATCATGCTGCTGCGGGGCTAGCCAGCCACCCAGGGAAACCCAGGCGGCTCTGGGGTGCACAGCTCCGGTGGCCTCTGACTCTCACAGCTGGCTCTGCCAGGGGCCAGAGCCACAAGAGGCACGAGACTTACAGGCAGTAAGTCCTGCCTGTGTCCTCTCAGTTTTCTGAGGAGGCACTAGATTTGGACATGGTTCCTCTTTAGGTCATGAGTGTCTGATAACCTCGTCTCACCAAATAAAGCATAAGCTGAATGCACACAGAAGTCTCGGAGGGGCACGTAAAAAGGATCCAACGTTAACAAAGCAGACGAAGAAAAGAAAATTTCCGCCTTTTATATTGAGTCTAGTTATTCTTTTGAGGTCAGACTCACAGTTATTAAACAAATGAAAGAAATCCCTTCCGCCAGAGAGGATGAGGTGGGCTGCAGAATTTAGACAGAATACAATAAGCCTCACCATGGACTTTGATTAGGTAAATACTGGTGAAATTATGGGTATATTAGATTTAAAAAAGAAACTTTAAAGAAGTATTTATAAACATATAAAATAAAATGTTAATCAGTTTCTCTACAAAAACTCCCTGTAATTTATATGCAGCTATTGATGATATGTACTATTTCAGATCATGTAAGACTAATCTTAAGGGCCTAATGTGACAATATTAATTTTCTTAGTCTGATTATGATTTTTAGCCTGAATCTTAGTCTGATTCTTCTGTGCAATATACCTTGTGTAGCCATTTCATACTCAAGAAAAGGAACTGTCATTAATTTCCAAATCACAATACCATTTAATGTTCAGTTTGCAGAACAGATTCAGGGTACAAGAAAGCATGACGAAAGCAAAAAGTTAAAACTTGGAAAGATCTACAGGAAGGGAAAAAGAGAAAAAAATCTGTTTCAGTCTGGTTTTTATGTTGTGTATGTTCCTAAAGCGAGGGCACTGATACGTTCCCCATACACTTTTCTAACATCTTTTTCTTAGTTCAAAACCAAAATGCTTAATCACTTTTTTTTTTTTCTCCTAGGAAAGATGTGTGAAATCTTTCTTCCTGAAATATGGTAAACCAATATTCCTTAGGTGAAATACCCCTAAGCTTAACATACAGCTAACTGTTAAATGACTATGGTTAAAATAGTTGTATATAAATAACATTTTGTTTAGTAAATACTGTGACATATGAGCTAGCCACCGAAGACTATAGAAACCTTTTAATTCAAAACCAAATTCAAATCCATTTCAATATTCATTTATTTAAATAAAATTTATTCATGTTGTAAATCAGGTAATCTTTGATAACCAACTATGGCCCTGGTTATGCAAAGATTTAAGGAAATAATGAGCTGTAAGCATACAAATAATTCCTATTTGCATACTTAAATTCAAGCACATTCTTAAGCCTTTTCAAGATTGGTCCCTACAGATATTGCATTCAGCTAAGTCTAAATCAACCAGATTTCCATATGGATGTAGCATATTATTTTCCAATGAAAATGTTCCATTTCTTCTTCTAGTTGCTTTTGATGTTTATCATGTACATTAAATGACTTTCTGAATATGCAGTAATGAGTAACTCTTCTGCCTCTGGCATTGCTTACTTGTAGTTCGCCTCTGGAATCATAATTATCAGGGAATGCTTTATCAGAAAAGATTTTTGCTTTTTCCAAAATTATACACATTAGCTTGCAAGGGTATTTGCAAATTACAATAAAGGTTAGGACCTGATACACCTCTCAGTTCGAAGCAGAGCTCTAGGTGATTTGGTTTCGTTTGCTGTGCCTTGCATTTCTAAGTATTTTTTGCACACTGTTATAGTCACCATTTCCAACTGTGTCTCTGCTAAATAAACTGTATTAATTTCAAAGTGTAGAAACCTACCTATAATAGATACATGTACAGAAAAATAACCATACCCTAATTATACCATACCTTTTCCATTACTTCTATACATGCAAGTAAGTATACGCATTCGCACAAAAAGGACATTTAATTGTTTTAATTCATGGGAGAGAGATGTTTTCCTGCCTGCTGTAAGAAGAAGTAGCATCTTCTAGTCCACAGTCTTCTGTTCCATTCAACCTCCATTATATACACGTGTCTTAGAGGCTCCTAATCGTGAAGAGATTAGCAGTCGTAACTCTTGCAATTACACCAGTCCTCAGAAAGTTGGGCCTTAGCCAAGAGATAAGTGACTCACAAAATGCTTGACTTCTAAGATCATCATCTCGTAGAACGGTTTGGGTTGGAAGGGACCTTGAAGATCCTCTAGTTCCCACCCCCCTGCCACGGGAAGGGACACCTCCCACTAGCCAGGTTGCTCAAAGCCCCATCCAACCTGGCCTTGAACACCTCCAGGGATGGGGCATCCGCAGCCTCTCTGGGCAGCCTGCTCCAGTGCCACATCACCCTCACAGTAAAGCATTTCTTCCTAATATGAACCTAAATCTGTATTCAGAGAAGGGTCAGTTTGTTTTGACTAACAGAATATACCTAGAAATTTTCCAGAGGACATCACGTCGGTGATTTTGGGACAACACCGGGCGCAGAACGAGGAAAAACCAGTATGGTTTGGAGTGCAGACTTGGCTCGGGTGCTGGGGACGGCCCTCCGCCCGGGGGCCAAGCCCCGTGCGGGGCCAGAGAGGGAAGCAAAGGAACGGACACGGGACACCCGCCTCAGCGCGGCCGTGGGGCTTCTTACTGCC